AATTTGTACCATTAAATAGCACACAAAACGTTCATGTCTGATATATGTGACATTTCAACCATTCAGACTGTAAAATGACTAACATCATTTAACGTCATTACCTTTTTTGTCATATGGTCATTAATGTATATTTTACTTGGTAATTATTCAATCTATTACTAAATACAAAATGACGGTTTGCACTGACAGTTATTTGACATTTAAATACCTGAATACTATGCCACATTACTGCATGTAAACTCTGTGTGCATGCAGTCAACGCTGACTGATAGTTAAAGGATTTTTTCTGATAATCAAGATAACAGAGAAAGAGGAAGGAAGACCCAGTGTGCTATTGTAGGTCATGCTCCTTCTCACACAATGTGTTCAGATAGTGTGAGAGAAAGTGCTGCAGACTCAGATGTGTGTTTTTATAAAGAATGTTGGTGAATATCTGAATGGCAAACAGAGCACCAATGGAGTCAGAATGAGTAAAAAAAAAAATCACCCCTGATGGACTGTCCAACCTGAAGCAAGAGACACAAATTGGTGCATAGAAATTCACCATAATGCAGAAAATGAAGTGTTTAACAATCAAAAATCTCATGGGGAGGCCCCCAAGACCCACTGCTTGCTTTGTGCCCTCAGGCATGGGGCCACGGGCATAGTGTCCCTTATTCCTCCACGCTGAAGGTGGCAACCCCAGTGGCACAGCATTGCTTTTCTCTTGGTGTACATGGGTGAGAGAAAAGCGGTGTCTGTGATAAAGATGGGCAGATAGGAATGAAAAAATGTCAAACTAACAACAAGATGACACCATTTTTGTATCCTGAAAGCCTGAAATGCTGGTTCACATAACGTACTCATTGATATACTCTTGATTAAACAGTTGCTATTGTTCATACTTCCCTGCTAGTAGTGCTTTGCAATTTCCGTCCGTTGGTTGGGTCACCACTTTGGTCCATACTGAAAAATCTCAACAAATATTGGATGGATTGCCATGAAACTGTGTTCAGACATCCATGGTGCCCAGAGGATCAACTGTAATAACTATTTTTATTTTAATCAAAATGTTTTGTTTTGGTCCAATACTTTGGTTTATGACCAATACCTGCAAAACTAAAGACATTCCCATCAGTCTCAGCAGCACTACGACAGTGATCAGTGTTATTTAGCAAATGTTCAGTAAAGTGAGCCAAAGTTGTGCTGTTGGATGATACTGACCAGGAAGACATTTTTAATCTTCGTCCCAACAGCATATTTAACATACAAGGACTACCAACCAAAGAATAAACTGCTGTAAGAAACAACCATCACAGAAAAATATTAACTTATTTCTTTAATTATTACTGGTAGTTATATAGGTAATGTCATCTGAAAAATTACATTAAAGTTAAATTAAAATTTAAACTGCATAGGCTGAGTCAAACAATTCGAATACATTTGTATTTTTAAAAAGCACAAATTAAAACAGAAACATAAAACAATAACATGAAGTCATTAAAAACACACTCACAGACAAAGTCATGAAAAACTGGAATGATAGGATAAAGCACCTGTGAAATAGTCTGTGGGTACCACAGTCAATAGTAGGTTCTATAACATTAACTAAAGACACTAAACTTCTGCACTTTAAATGTGTTCTTTGTGAGGCAAAGGGATTTCAATCAATTCTAAACTTTTTGGTTTTTGAGTTTTTCCTGTAGTTGGTTTAGAAAACGTCATAAAACACCACCACAACTTTCCATTGTCATGGTTTAAAAGAGATTTGAAAGCATGAAGCAGGCAAAATGAAACTGACCTTACCCGCTGAGGCACAGCCCACATAAAATGTAATAGGTTTTCACATGAAAGTACAATAACATGAAAGCCATTGGTGGTACTCTGTTCTATATCTGCCCAGTACTGACAAAAACAGTAAAATGCTAAGCTATTGATCAGGCTATTGTCAGTGTGGATGTTTAAGCTTTGATGTTTCTTTTTTGTGAAACATATAATTGCTCTTTTCTGTACACCACCATCTTACAGTTTACACACCATTATCACTGGTGTCTGTGACCCATTGCTTCACGAGGGGGACACCTAGCTAAGACCATCAGCCCCCACAGGGTTGGCTAAACTCAAGGCCTGGTAGAATTCAAACATGCCTTTACAGTCAGCATGGCTTGCAAGCTCTTGGGACTTTTGGTGGCCAGAAACAAGTCAAACAATGACTGACTTTTTAACGTATTACACTTACTTGCTCACACACTTAAATTAATTGATAGATATTTACTGAAAATGTAATTTAATTTCTCCATACTGTAATTCTACTATAACATCTCTGAGGGAACCTGTTCCGTTGCTTTCCCTGATGTTTCTTTTAAATGGGCTTGAGACAAATTAGAGATTTTAATCCAATTTACATAAAAATATAAGCCTGAGTGGCTCACCTGGGAGAGCTGGCATGTGCCAGGTCTGGGTCCATGCTGCAGCGACCTAGGGTTCAGGTCCAACCTGGGGCCCATTGCTGCATGTCATCCCCTCTCTCTGCAAAACACATTTAAAATAGAGTGTGAAAAAACAGAAAGTAATTTATTGATTTATTATGACCACATTTTAGACAAAATTTAAGTCCAATGAAAAAAGTATTGTATTTGGAAATAAAACAATTTATTGATTTCTAATGCCACCTTTAGATATTTCTTTTTTATCTGCCACAATGATGTAATGAGTTCAAATATCTTCTTTTGGGGGCTTTTACAAGCAAATATACATATATGTGGTTCCTTGCAATTAAATGTATTGCTCTCTCTAGATCTGCCCCTGACACAAATGCAATATGCCAAAATGTGTCTGGTAAACCACAACAGTACACAAGGACTTATATGTTTGTATGTTGGTATCTCTTTTACAAAGAGCACAATGTTCATGTTGTTGACCCAAGATACTGTTACACAATACACCCCTATGACATCACGAGTAAATTATTGGTAATCAAATCCTAAAGAAAAAAAGAAACAGAAATACGACAGACCCCAGTTACATAATGGGAACTTGAACAGCACCATTCCTCCTTCTTCATCCACTGGATGTCCTCAGTTAGCTTTGTTTAGTTTTTGGTTTTTACTTGAGGGATGAAATCCTATCCTTTCCCCCCTCCCCCTGTTCCATACTGTATGTAAAGCAGCCCAAGGCAGTTGATATAGTTAATTGCAACTGTTTTCTTCACATCTCCCACCCACTCTGTTTGCTTGCATTCTTGTTCTGCTGTTTGCCGTACAGCTTGCTCAAACCTGTAAAAATCTGTGCTGATGGGCAATCTTCTCTTACTTTGGCTCCATGCCTCTTTATTGCCACACCATAATGCTAACCTACCCTTTTATCACACATAAATACCTTGTACATAATGATTATCTTTTGGGTTTGGTTGTTCCTCCGTATGCACTGTGAATCTGTGTGGCCTCCCTGAGCCTGCTGGTCGCACAAGTTAACCATATAGAATTCTAGAGCTGACATTACGCAATTGAAATCATTCAATCAAATTGATATTTCACTCGAGACTCATTTTAGACACATTTGAATGCCAGATGTGAACTGCGGTTAAACTCAGCTGGCTCCAGGCACAGTGTGGATCCATCTGGACACAAGATAACACGTCTGAACAAGGTCTGAGTGGTGTGAGGAAAGGATCCACCACATTTTGCAATCAAAATTGGAAATGTTATGGTCCTAATTCCCACAATTTTTGACTTCTTCTCAGAAACAAACTAGTTGTCATGCCTACACCTGTAGTGTCTCCCTACATCTTTCTCTCTTCTCTCTGTGTGTCCTCTGCTCCCTTTTTAGGTCTGTTGCTACAACACCTGTCCTCTAGATGTCCTCTGTGAGTTGACTGTCTACACACCAACTGACCTCTCTTGTGAGCCAGGACTTGCCTGTGCAGCTGTTCCCTATTTGCTTGCTGGCAGTGATGATAGATATAGACAAATGTACAAAATCAAAACCAACCGATACATGATCTCCACCTCACAGGAGGCTGCAGAACTCAAAAACAGGCATGTCATAACATTGTGCAATCTTGCATTATGTGTGTATTAAAATGGCAGAATGTGGTGAAATAGTGTAGGACTTTCTCTTTGTGGAAGAGCACAGATGTATGTGATAGATGTAACTGTAATTAATGATGGCTCTATTCATTTAGGTGTCCTAGTGCATTATG